GTACTTTATCTAGCCCACCTTTCTCTCAACAGCTGCTTTTACCTTCCACTGGGAGAATGGATGACATTCAGATTTGATTAAAGTGGAGCTCAAAAGCCCCTCACCAACATCAAGGAACCTCCTGAGGTGAGAAAGAAGGATAGGGAAGGAGGAAATGGGTAAAGGAGTGGGGAATAGGAGAGGATAGGATCAAAGATAAAGTGGCCCAATCACTTTTGAGTTTCACTGGTACTTTTTCAAATCAAATCATTTATTTCTTTGCGCAGTACAATATGTAGTTTACATGTAATAAAATATTGTCAAATATAAAGAAAGCTGCTAGAATTCATGAGCATTTTGGGCAGGCCAATTTGCCAATTTTATTGAAATTGAAAAAATTGAAATACATGTAAATGATTCATCTGATTGGCGTCAAAACTTGAATGCCAATATCTTGGGAATGCAATTTCTGAGTGGCTTATAACTTAAAGTACTGGTGTATTTTGGGATACTGATCTCTGTGAGATAACTAGAATACAGCCTTTCCTCACTTAATGACAGAGTTCCATTCCTGAGACCTTGTTGATAAATGAATTTGTTAAGTGAGGAGCATACTATAATGGTAGTGGGTTTATATAAATCATCTTTGATATTGTTTTAATGTCACCTTTACACCATGTATAACATTTCTGGTATATTTTTAAATGTTTATACAGTAGTGTACTGTATACTGTAATATACAGAATAGAGAAAATCAGCTCTAATATACATTATTTAGGTATGCATACTGGTCAGAGAGCCTGCCGCAAGTCTGGGTCATCGGTAAACGAGTACGATGTTAAGTGAAGAGAGGCTGTATACCTATTCTGATTTGCTTTAAACTTTAAAAGCTGGTGTATCTTATGTAGTGGAAGGTTCGAGTGGTTTTTGGCAGTGTAGTTGTCAATTTAGTTATTTGAGAAACTGGGATAGTTTCCATGTGAAAACTTGTGAATGCCTCTTCTGATTCGCTTCATTATAATCTTTAGAAACACTACTATTTCTTTTGTTTGCATTGAGATAGATGGGGCAGGGCTATTGGGATACAGAGATACCTTTCTCAGAATGAAAAGCAACTGAACACATCCAGTTACCTGGTCAAACACGTCAAGAAATTAGAGAAAGTGCAAAGGTTTGCAACAAGGCTAGTTCCGGAGCTCAGGGGTATGTCCTACGAAGAAAGGTTGAGGGAAATTAGACTGACGACATTGGAGGACAGGAGGGTCAGGGGAGACATGATAACGACATACAAAAATACTGCGTGGAATAGATAAGGTAGACAGAGACAGGTTGTTCCAGAGAGGGGACACAGAAACAAGGGGTCACAATTGGAAGCTGAAGACTCAGACGAGTCAGAGGGATGTTAGGAAGTATTTCTTCAGTCATAGAGTCGTCAGGAAGTGGAATAGCCTGGCAAGTGATGGAGGCAGGAACCATACATCTCTGGAAGCAGAGAGAGGACCTAGTAGTGATCAGTGAAGAGGCGAAGAGGCGGGGCCAGGAGCTGAGTCTCGACCCCTGCAACCACAATTAGGTGAGTACTGTATTTCCCAAATTTTTATGATTTTTTTTTTTATCTGCTACAGTTATGAAGATTTGAGGACAATAAATAAATAAATAAATGAACAAATAAATTTACTTTAATGATAAATGCAAATTATAGTACAGTGGTACCTTGAATTTCGGCCAAAATTCGTTCCAAAAGGCTGTTGAAGTGCCTTTACCGAACGAATTTGTTCCCATAAGGAATAACGTAAATTAGATTAGTTCGTTTCAGACCCCAAAAAATACACTTACATAACAGTTCGAGTTGGGAGCTGTTCGAAATTCGAGGTAGCACTGTACTAATCTTCTTTCAACAAAACGGCCGTATCCCACCAAAGCAGGGTAGCCCAGACAAGAAAAACAAAAGTTTCTCTTTTTGACTTTAGTAATGCATACAGGAGAAGGGGTCACTAGCCCCTTGTTTCCAGCATTTCAGTCGCCTCTTATGACACGCATGGCTTACGGAGGAAGAATTCCATTCCACTACCCCATGGAGATAAGAGGAAATAAACAAGAACAAGAACTAATAAGAAAATAGAAAAAACCCAGAGGGGTGTGTGTATATATATGTTTGTATATGCATGTGTAGTGTGACCCAAGTGTAAGTAGAAGTAGCAAAATGTACCTGAAATCTTGCGTGTTTACGAGACAGAAAAAAGACACGAGCAATCCTACCAGCATGTAAAACAATTACAGGCTTTCATTTACACTCACTTGGTAGGATGGTAGTACCTCCCTGGGTGGTTGCTGTCTACCAATCTACTACCTAGATATAATACTAATACTGTATATAAAATACTAGTGGAATAAGCCTTATGTAAGCTTTTTACAAATAGGAGAATAGGGAAATATTCAGTAAGTCGGCAAAAATTTATATTGTTTAAGCAATGAGGAAACCCTTGATTCACTTGGTCAAATTTGCATGTAAAGGGTAAATATACAATTATAATTACACATACAGTTTTATTATGTAGTGAACATCTGTTTACTATGGTTATCTATTACTATACAAAGTTGTATTTCATTAAAACAATCATAATAAGTGTTGCTTTATCTTCCATGTCATGAAGATGGATGTAGTATTAACAAATTAACATAATGATACAGTAAACTGAGCTATGAACATCATTTTCAATAGCATTTTAGAACACAATTTCTTTAAAACAAAACAGTGAAGAGCTAATAAATCACAATAATCAAAACAGTTACTGTACATTTCATAGATGTACTATACAAAGTCTTCATGCTATAAGCAGCCAAATGTAAACATATTTCAGTATTATCATTTCCATCTTTCCTAAGGTGGGGATGCCATCACCAGGAAGGGATGAAAAATAATTGAAGAGAGAGTTGCACACAGCTAGAGTGACATCAGCCTTTCACGATTTTCTTCACAATCAGCATTATCACAAGAAACCAGAGCCGTTATTGAAAAATAAAATATTAACAGCATTTATCTCCGCTGTTACACTGACTTGGTGTGAAACATCAGAATGTCATTGATGCTCTTCTAACAGATTGTTTCCATACAGTAATATTCACTGCTATTTCTCCGTGTTAACATGAACATCACAGTTCTCATACACTTACGGCCTTTCTCTCCTAAACCAGCATTCACTAAGCAGAATTTCCTCCCTCCTTATCATAAAAACTAGCATTTTCTACACAGTCCTACAGGTCACAGACTTGCATTTGTTTAATAATATTGACATTTTATGTTCATCCTCAGATTATCTATTTCCATCATCTGAAATTTAATTTTTAAGCATCACACAACACCAGAGCTGGAATAATAATTCTGTGTGTTCCTCTATTTGTTTCCCTTCCTATTATATTCTTCCCAGCTAAGACCTACAATGTACCAACACAATGCAATCAACTTCACTTAAACATATTACCTCTTTGTAGCTCAGACATTTTAGAAATTTACCATTCTCTCCGTATATAAAATTTCCTCTCAACTCTATAGGTATATCTTATCTCCTATTCCAATATACAATAATGTTGCATACAGCAGATACACTTCAGTTGGAAGTGCAACCAAGGAAGTTACTGTATCACTGGTTATCAACAATCTTAGCCTCTTATCCTGGCATATCTCATGAACAACAATAGTAGGAAATGGCCTCAGATAGAATTGTTTCTTTGCCTTTTTGGTTCTTTCTTCCTTTAATCTATCAGTGAAGAAATGAATGTACATTAAGGAGCGTGGGTTTATATTGGAGATGTGCTTGAAGCATCCTATTCTTTATATATGTGCTGGTATTCAGCAAGGATTATGTCATTCCATAATCTTTAATTATGTTCATGGTAATGTCCTGAACTCCATGGGGTCATATAGGGCCTAGGGAATGGTAGGCAATTAGGTTTGATCCAAGGAAGAAGACAGGACTTAAGTTCCTTGGATAGAGCTCTTCATCAGCATCAAGGTATACCTTGATTCTGGTATCCACTAAGCTTTAACTAGACTCCTGTTATGCCCAAGCTTGCTTCTATTTCATTCCTTCAGTTATATATATATATATATATATATATAATATATAATATATATATATTTTCATATAGTCGGACTTGAGTCCTGGAAATGGGAAGTCCCAATGCCTGCACTTTAAAGGAGGGGTTTGGGATTTGGCAGTTTGGAGGGATATGTTGTGTATCTTTATACGTATATGCTTCTAAACTGTTGTATTTCGAGCACTCTGCAAAAGCAGTGAATAATGTGTGAGTGTGGTGAAAGTGTTGAATGATGATGAAAGTATTTTCTTTTTGGGGATTTTCTTTCTTTTTTGGGTCACCCTGCCTCGGTGGGAGACGACCGACTTGTTGAAAACAAATTATATATATATATATATATATATATATCTTTCTTTCTTTCAACACACCGGCCGACCCCACCGAGGCGGGGTGGCCCAAAAGGAAAAACGAAAGTTTCTCCTTTTACATTTTTAATATATACAGGAGAAGAGGTTACTAGCCCCTTGCCCCGGCATTTTATTTGCCTCTCACAACACGCATGGCTTACGGGGGAAGAATTCTGTTCCATTCCCCATGGAGATAAGAGGAAATAAACAAGAATAGGAACTAGAAAGAAAATAGAAGAAAACCCAGAGGGGTGTGTATATATGTGCTTGTACATGTATGTGTAGTGTGCCCTTTAAGTGTAAGTAGAAATAGAAAGACGTACCTGAAATCTTGCATGTTTATGAGACAGAAAAAAGGACACCAGCAATCCTACCATCATGTAAAACAATTACAGGCTTTCTTTTTACATTCACTTGGCAGGACGGAAAGTACCTCCCTGGGCGGTTGCTGTCTACCAACTACTACCTATAATATATATTTATTATATATATATATATATTATAAAATATATATATATTATATATATATATATATTAATATATAATGTATATATTAAATATTCAACAGTTTATTAATAATACACATTCTTGCCTCGCAATTCACTTTCATGCAAACTTGACTGCTAGGTGCAATAAACTTTCACCTAGCAACTCCTCAACCAAAGATTTTTAAGACCTCCCAGATGGTAGCCCAATCTAATTTTACTTAAGTATATAAATTAAATGTTTGATTCCAGAGATAAGATCCAGTAACTTACAAGCGTGACTGAGGTGTGAGCCCCAGCAACCACAGTTGTGATGCAGCTGAACACTCAGCATCCAAGTACTTCAGCACTGTCTTGTCTGAAGACAAAAATAAAACAGCTATTAAAATACTGCATTAAGGAAAATTATACCCTGTTGTATAAGCTACAATGGGCATAAAAAATGGATACAGTACTGTAATGCAGTTTACTATATTACACTACTAGAAGACATGACTTACATTATTATTATTATAATCAAAAAGAAGCGCTAAGCCACAAGGACTATACAGCAAAATGACTTACAATGCAGGTATGTTGTTACCCATAAGATAGCCTTGGCCATAAGATATGGGGGAATATATTTTTGACATATTTTTAACCTTTTTCTTTTGTTTATGCTTTATCTTCCTTGTCATAAGTTGAGGCTGAGGATACTTGACTCCTGCAAACAGTCAGCTACCATGCATGTATTAAAAATCAGATACAACACATCTGAACTACATCAGCCTATTTAATATTCAGAGGCAAGCTTATGACCTGAAGCTCAACCATTGTAAACTCAAATAAGTAATTGCACCTATGCTCACAAACATATACATGGCTACTAGAGTTTGATTACAGCAAGTGCAAAATAATGACATTAAATGGTGGTGAAAGGAGACTAGAGTCATCATATTGCAATACCTGGGTGGAAAAAACTCGCAGGACTAGAAAGATAAAAAGATCTGGAGGTAAAAATCACATCTAACCTGTCTCTCGAGATACACATGAACGTAATGCCAGAAGTGTACATTACACTAGAAAACATAAGAATATCCTTCAAATCACCATTCACTACATATGTAAGATGAATCCTCGAGAATACATCACTAGTGCAAAACCTTCACCTAGCCAAGGACTTGGCAAAGCTCTGAAAAGTACAGTCTGCCACTAAAGTGACATCACAGCTGGGATGCAGAAGCTACAAGGAAAGACTGAACTAATTCAACCTCATGACTCTGAAGTACACAAATTATGAGGAGGCATGCTTATGATGTACAAAATATTCTAGGAAATGGATTAGGTCAACTAAGTTACTGTTTAATACTAGAGGGTCCAAGAGGGTACAGACAAACACAGAACACCCACAAACCAAGGGCTTACCTCCTCCCTGGGCTCTTGTGTGTTCAACAATCTATCCTTGCCTCAATGCCTGCAAACTCAGCTAGATAAAACAAAAACCTGATTAAGAGAAGGCAGCAATCACCTTAGATGGTTAGCCCACAAACCCATATCAGACTTCTGGACAGAGTAGTGGATTGTATAGAGTCACCTAACTCCCCTCCTGGTTAAACCTGTCATTATAAAAGAACCCTCAACAACAGATAGATGGTGCCTTACTGTTATGTATAATTTTCTCAAGATTCCCCACCTTACTCAACTTAATTAGCAGCCAGGAGACAGCAATTACATACCTAAAGACACTTAGCCATTAGCAGCAGTTTCACAGTGGCTGTGCCCTTCTCCAGGATAAAGCAGTAATGCCATCAGCACTCAAATTCCACTAGTGGCTTGCATTTTAAGATAGGTTCTCACAACATATAGACTTTAGAGGAAGAAAGCCAAATGATCAAAGGAAAGCTTTTTCCCAAAAGCAACTTTAGCTTCATGTCGTACCCTATGCACATACTGACTGCTTATTGGTAATATTAAATAAGTACAGTGGAACCTCCACTTGTGAGTGCATCCATGTGTGAGTTTTTCCAAATACAAGCAGTCACTCAACTGATTTTTTGTTTCCATATGCGAGCAAAATTTCCATAAGCAAGCGGTCCTCAAGGGAGGTTCCTTGACGCTGGTGAGGGGCTCTTGCTCTTGATCTAGGGAATTGGATTTCATTTGTTTGTTGGACTATCTTATTGAAACTTGGACAATGTATGATGGAAAGATGCTTCTTAACATGCACCAAAAATGAAAGAAATCGGACCATAAATAATGGAGTTCACTTCTCAGCCATTAGCCGCCCCTTAGCAGTACAGTGGACCCCCGAGTTTTGTGATTAATCCGTTCCAGAGAGCCTGCCGAAAGTTGAAATTCACAAAACTCGAAACCATTTTCCCCATAAGAAATAATGGAAATAAAATTAATCCATTCCAGACACCCAAAAAAGGGATGTGTAATGTCACCATGGTTGTTTAATATATTTATAGATGGGGTTGTAAAAGAAGTAAATGCTAGGGTGTTCGGGAGAGGGGTGGGATTAAATTATGGGGAATCAAATTCAAAATGGGAATTGACACAGTTACTTTTTGCTGATGATACTGTGCTTATGGGAGATTCTAAAGAAAAATTGCAAAGGTTAGTGGATGAGTTTGGGAATGTGTGTAAAGGTAGAAAGTTGAAAGTGAACATAGAAAAGAGTAAGGTGATGAGGGTATCAAATGATTTAGATAAAGAAAAATTGGATATCAAATTGGGGAGGAGGAGTATGGGAGAAGTGAATGTTTTCAGATACTTGGGAGTTGACGTGTCGGCGGATGGATTTATGAAGGATGAGGTTAATCATAGAATTGATGAGGGAAAAAAGGTGAGTGGTGCGTTGAGGTATATGTGGAGTCAAAAAACGTTATCTATGGAGGCAAAGAAGGGAATGTATGAAAGTATAGTGGTACCAACACTCTTATATGGATGTGAAGCTTGGGTGGTAAATGCAGCAGCAAGGAGACGGTTGGAGGCAGTGGAGATGTCCTGTCTAAGGGCAATGTGTGGTGTAAATATTATGCAGAAAATTCGGAATGTGGAAATTAGGAGAAGGTGTGGAGTTAATAAAAGCATTAGTCAGAGGGCAGAAGAGGGTTGTTGAGGTGGTTTGGTCATTTAGAGAGAATGGATCAAAGTAGAATGACATGGAAAGCATATAAATCTATAGGGGAAGGAGGGGTAGGGGTCGTCCTCGAAAGGGTTGGAGAGAGGGGGTAAAGGAGGTTTTGTGGGCAAGGGGCTTGGACTTCCAGCAAGTGTGCATGAACGTGTTAGATAGGAGTGAATGGAGACGAATGATACTTGGGACCTGACGATCTGTTGGAGTGTGAGCAGGGTAATATTTAGTGAAGGGATTCAGGGAAACAGGTTATTTTCATATAGTCGGACTTGAGTCCTGGAAATGGGAAGTACAATGCCTGCACTTTAAGGAGGGGTTTGGGATATTGGCAGTTTGGAGGGATATGTTGTGTATCTTTATACGTATATGCTTCTAAACTGTTGTATTCTGAGCACCTCTGCAAAAACAGTGATAATGTGTGAGTGTGGTGAAAGTGTTGAATGATGATGAAAGTATTTTCTTTTTGGGGATTTTCTTTCTTTTTTGGGTCACCCTGCCTCGGTGGGAGACGGCCGACTTGTTGAGAGAAAAAAAAAAATTAAAATTAAATAAAGATTTACATACTGAAAACAATCAGAAATCAAGTACATGCATATAAAAAATAATAATAACATTACACTTACCTTTACTGAAGACTTCTGGGTGGATGGAAGACAGGAGGGGATAGGAGGAAGGTGTACACTATTGTTTGGAAGGAGAATCTCCTTCCATTAGGACTTCAGGTAGCAAGACCTTTTCTGGGGTTACTTCCCTTCTTCTTTTAATGCCACTGGGAACAACTTGAGAGTCACTGGACCCCTGTTGCACAAAATATCTGTCCAGAGAGGTCTGTTTCTGGCATTTCTTTATGATTTGCCTGAACTGGGACAGGGTTTTGTCACTGAACATGTTGCAGATATGGCTTGTTTCAGCTTGGTCAGGGTGAAACTTTTCAACAAAACTTTGCAACTCATTCCACTTTGAACACATGTCCTTAATCACCGAAGAAGGCACCTCCTTCACTCTCTTTTCCTCCTCCTCTGAAGCAGGTTCCTCAGTTGTGGTCTGATGCTGTTCCAGTTGAAGCTCTTGCAGTTCATCAGTGGTTAGCTCTTCCCTGTGGTCCTCCACCAACTCTTCCACATCCCCGTCACTCACCTACAACCCCATGGACTTGCCCAATGCCACAACACCTTCCACAACAGGCAGAGGGTTGGCAGGGTCAGGGTCTGCCTCAAACCTTCAAAATCCCTCTGGATCGTGTTCTTCGCTTTCTTTACCAAAGGGCTTGCACTAGCTTTCCTTGGGCCCATGGTGACTTATTTAGCAGTTGCAATCACAAAAAACAATGGATTATTACGTATGAACCCGTGGGGTGATGGTCACGTGTTGGTAAACAATGGCACACTGAGCGTGAATGGCGAGGGAGATTGGCTTTGTGTGCACGGTGACGGGCGGACAGGTACCGGACGGTCGCCGAATCACGAGTCTAATCACGAAACTCGAGGCCAAATTCTGACGAAAAAACTTGCTGAAAGTCGAATTTCACTAAAGTCGATGCTGCCGAAACTCGGGGGTCCACTGTATTTTCATATGGTTTTTATGGTTGTATTCTCGTTTTTTGGTCTCACTTGATAGAATGGAAGATATACTACAGAAACAGATTGGTTTCACGACAAAAAGTACTTTTAAACTGAACTCAAAGTAGAAATGTTCGATTCTTTGGCGATGTTCAAGAGTAAACAAATTACGTCACTGTCCATTCCAATATGCAGCCATGAATGGAGTGACATTATTTATACAATTATTACAATAATGAAGTAGTCTGCATAACAGTAAATCTTCTATTTTTGTGTGAATAAAAATTGCAAATTATGTATATTGTAATAATAATAATACGTACATATAATAATATTATTGTTATTATATTAATAGTATAATAATATAATAATAGTAATAATATGTACAATAATGATACATGTATAATAATAATGTACTATATAATATTATTATTATTATCACACTGGCCGATTCCCACCAAGGCAGGGTGGCCCGAAAAAGAAAAACTTTCACCATCATTCACTCCATCACTGTCTTGCCAGAAGGGTGCTTTACACTACAGTTTTTAAACTGCAACATTAACACCCCTCCTTCAGAGTGCAGGCACCGTACTTCCCATCTCCAGGACTCGAGTCCGGCCTGCCGGTTTCCCTGAACCCCTTCATAAATGTTACTTTGCTCACACTCCAACAGCACGTCAAGTATTAAAAACCATTTGTCTCTATTCACTCCTATCAAACACGCTCACGCATGCCTGCTGGAAGTCCAAGCCCCTCACACACAAAACCTCCTTTACCCCCTCCCTCCAACCTTTCCTAGGCCGACCCCTACCCCGCCTTCCTTCCACTACAGACTGATACACTCTTGAAGTCACTCTGTTTCGCTCCATTCTCTCTACATGTCCGAACCACCTCGACAACCCTTCCTCAGCCCTCTGGACAACAGTTTTGGTAATCCCGCACCTCCTCCTAACCTCTCAAACTACGAATTCTCTGCATTATATTCACACCACACATTCCCCTCAGACATGACATCTCCACTGCCTCCAGCCTTCTCCTCGCTGCAACATTCATCACCCATGCTTCACACCCATATAAGAGCGTTGGTAAAACTATACTCTCATACATTCCCCTCTTTGCCTTCAAGGACAAAGTTCTTTGTCTCCACAGACTCCTAAGTGCACCACTCCCCCTTTTTCCCCTCATCAATTCTATGATTCACCTTATCTTTCATAGACCCATCCGCTGACACGTCCACTCCCAAATATCTGAATACATTCACCTCCTCCATACTCTCTCCCTCCAATCTGATATCCAATCTTTCATCACCTAATCTTTTTGTTATCCTCATAACCTTACTCTTTCCTGTATTCACTTTTAATTTTCTTCTTTTGCACACCCTACCAAATTCATCCACCAATCTGTGCAACTTCTCTTCAGAATCTCCCAAGAGCACAGTGTCATCAGCAAAGAGCAACTGTGACAACTCCCACTTTATGTGTGATTCTTTATCTTTTAACTCCACGCCTCTTGCCAAGACCCTGGCATTTACTTCTCTTACAACCCCATCTATAAATATATTAAACAACCACGGTGACATCACACATTCTTGTCTAAGGGCTACTTTTACTGGGAAATAATTTCCCTCTTTCCTACATACTCTAACTTGAGCCTCACTATCCTTGTAAAAACTCTTCACTGCTTTCAGTAACCTACCTCCTACACCATACACCTTCAACATCTGCCACATTGCCCCCCTATCCACCCTGTCATATGCCTTTTCCAAATCCATAAATGCCACAAAGACCTCTTTAGCCTTATCTAAATACTGTTCACTTATATGTTTCACTGTAAACACCTGGTCAACACACCCCCTACCTTTCCTAAAGCCTCCTTGTTCATCTGCTATCCTATTCTCCGTCTTACTCTTAATTCTTTCAATAATAACTCTACCATACACTTTACCAGGTATACTCAACAGACTTATCCCCCTATAATTTTTGCACTCTCTTTTGTCCCCTTTGCCTTTATAGATAATAATAAATAATTATAATAATAATCATTAGACGGCAGTGATTACCACAACAGTGTAGGAGTGGTTGTAGCCGCCTCCACCTGTCACATAATGACATATTTTATTCATTCTAGAGTATACATCAGGTTTCTATGTTATTTATATTGTTTATTATGTCATTAAATGAATTGTGATAGATAAATAAGCTGTATAGATGATATTAGTGAAATATTGAAGTATCTTGTCGTGCCTCCTGAGAGCCAGGAACGGATTAATTGCATTTCAATTAATTTAAATGAGGAAAATTGACTCTGCAAACGAGCAAATCCAGATGCAAGCAAGCAAGGTCACAGAATGGATTAAACTCATAAGTAGAGGTTCCACTGTGCTTATAAATGAATAATAAAAAATATTTCTGGTCACAAATTGAACTGAGGTGGGACAAAGTTTTTAGCTTGTACATAAATGCAAAAACTCTAGTGTAACAGGTAGCACTTACCTCCACAAGATATAAAAGTTTCAATGATTTTAAAAATGGCTGGAGAGGGAACTGCCAGGTTGATGTGTGGAAAAGTGGCTTTCCTAAATGTATCACAAGTGTTACACACAACAACTCCAATTACTTCCAGTCCTGAAAATAAAATTACTAAAGCTAGCCAGTATCTTTCTCAGGTAATATTTATACTGTACATGTATTTGATATAGGAATATTTAATTCCTAAAAAAAATTGTGTGCATGTAAAATAAACTCTAGATACAAATTCTCAGCTGAGGTATTGTGAAGAAAGTTAAGATATACATCAGGGAAAACAATAAATAACTAAGCATGGTTTGTTTTAAGAATACAAAGCAACTGTTGAGAAAAATAAGACATTAAATGACTAAAGAAAAATTAAGATGAAACATACTGAAGTTATGAAGAATCTAATAGATTACATTTCCCCTCAAGGAAGGTTCCTTGATGTTGGTGAGGGGCTCTTGATTTAGGGAATTGGATCTGTGCTCCAGTTCCCCAAATTAAGCCTGAATGCCTTCCACATCCCCCCCCCAGGCGCTGTATAATCCTCCGGGTTTAGCGCTTCCCCCTTGATTATAATAATAATAATAATAGATTACAATGAAAGTGTCAATTTACTTAGTATCATAGTCAAGTGTCTTGCCTTTGTATCATACCAAGATATGTAATATCTTAGCAGGTATTATGTAAGACATTAATCAGCAACTCTATAATATTTATTAGTTTGGCAGATCCACTAACCATGTTGGGGATGAACTGATACAACTGCTCCACCACTGGTGCCAGCATACACTGCACATGTTGTCTGCATGATCACTGGCACCATATTGTTGGTATTACTGCTCACAAACATATCACCATCAGTAAATCTATTGGTAACACTTAGAAAATTATCTTTTTTTGTAAAGTCAATGCATGTATTTTTATCTTTTAAATCTGCAATCCTTATACTATCATTCTTTTGCTTAAGTACATCATCTCTCAAATTGGTCACCGGAATGCCATTATTGCATTTGTCAGTGTTCTTTAAACTATATTTACTGCATTCTTGACAGTGTAGGTGTGTGGGCCACTGAAACATATAAAGTGGGAAGCTGACCACTTTTGACATGACACCTTGCGATAGTGTTGGGGTAGGTAGACATCTGGGAGAGAAAATTCCATAACCTGCTACTACAACTGATGACCCTGCAAATGAATTTCAGTTATTCTTTTCTGTAATGGACTGAACATTATTAAATAAAGAATTATCAACATCAAGTGTACAGTACAATATTAACTAATGAAAATATAATTTAAAATTTCTGGATAAGTGAATGAATTAATGTTAATTATTGAATAAGAACATGAATGTCTGCTAGATAAATATATATAAAAAGTGAGTCCTGGAGATGGGAAGTACAGTGCCTGCACTCTGAAGGAGGGGTGTTAATGTTGCAGTTTTATAGCTGTAGTGTAAAGCACCCTTCTGGCAAGACAATGATGGAGTGAATGATGGTGAAAGTTTTTCTTTTTCGGGCCACCCTGCCTTGGTGGGAATCGGCCAGTGTGATAATAAAAAATAAAATAATCATTTCTATAACTTTCATACCACTTGAACTAATTACCTAGTCACTGTACTGACTGTTTTCATACAGGACGGCCCCACACAAACAATAGCCTCTTTTCAGCATTCCGTGTTTTCATTGGCTTTCAGCTGAGCCACTGTTCATTATGTTCAGTGCTTTTACCACTTTTTTGTCATTTTCATACAACAGCTGCATAAGGGAAGGGTGACTGGCACTATATTTTAAGGCAAGTATTGTATGTACTGTGTATTTATTTTACTTGATCTTTTTTTTTTATGCCTAGCTGTACTGAGTACTTTATATATGATATATAAACACATTATCAGGCATTTTAGACTCATTTGAAAATAAAAAATAAACACATTTTCACCCGCTGGTGATATTTTCTTACTATACACGGTAGCGAACCAAAGAGCCATACAAATGGGGCCCTCCTGTATTGCAATAAAACTTATTGCCTGACTGCCTTAAATCTGGCTTATCCTGTTTACCTACATACAAAACTTTCAAGTCTAGCAAACAACTTTTCCTGAATCCCTCTATAGGTATTGTGGCATGCAAAGAGTATGTTACAATTTATTCAGCGTATGTCACATTCCCATATAGGCTGCCTCCCAACCAACGAACTGGGTGCTAAGGGTTTAACAATCAATAGGGTACCCATTGTTAAATCAGTACTTTGGCTCATTGACCAATCACAAGCAAGCCCACCAAAGCTGAAGCAACATGGTTCATTTGCAGTAAGTATTGACAGACTTGAGTGAGATTAACAAGTTAAGAAAGCCTAGAGAACAAATGGATTTGTCAGTTAAAAATAGGAGAGGAGAGTTATTAAATGGAGAGTTAGAGGTATTGGGAAGATGGAAGGAATATTTTGAGGAATTGTTAAATGTTGATGAAGATAGGGAAGCTGTGATTTCGTGTATAGGGCAAGGAGGAATAACATCTTGTAGGAGTGAGGAAGAGCCAGTTGTGAGTGTGGGGGAAGTTCGTGAGGCAGTAGGTAAAATGAAAGGGGGTAAGGCAGCCGGGATTGATGGGATAAAGATAGAAATGTTAAAAGCAGGTGGGGATATAGTTTTGGAGTGGTTGGTGCAATTATTTAATAAATGTATGGAAGAAGGTAAGGTACCTAGGGATTGGCAGAGAGCATGCATAGTTCCTTTGTATAAAGGCAAAGGGGATAAAAGAGAGTGCAAAAATTATAGGGGGATAAGTCTGTTGAGTGTACCTGGTAAAGTGTATGGTAGAGTTATAATTGAAAGAATTAAGAGTAAGACGGAGAATAGGATAGCAGATGAACAAGGAGGCTTTAGGAAAGGTAGGGGGTGTGTGGACCAGGTGTTTACAGTGAAACATATAAGTGAACAGTATTTAGATAAGGCTAAAGAGGTCTTTGTGGCATTTATGGATTTGGAAAAGGCGTATGACAGGGTGGATAGGGGGCAATGTGGCAGATGTTGCAAGTGTATGGTGTAGGAGGTAGGTTACTGAAAGCAGTGAAGAGTTTTTACGAGGATAGTGAGGCTCAAGTTAGAGTATGTAGGAAAGAGGGAAATTTTTTCCCAGTAAAAGTAGGCCTTAGACAAGGATGTGTGATGTCACCGTGGTTGTTTTAATATATTTATAGATGGGGTTGTAAGAGAAGTAAATGCGAGGGTCTTGGCAAGAGGCGTGGAGTTAAAAGATAAAGAATCACACACAAAGTGGGAGTTGTCACAGCTGCTCTTTGCTGATGACACTGTGCTCTTGGGAGATTCTGAAGAGAAGTTGCAGAGATTGGTGGATGAATTTGGTAGGGTGTGCAAAAGAAGAAAATTAAAGGTGAATACAGGAAAGAGTAAGGTTATGAGGATAACAAAAAGATTAGGTGATGAAAGATTGAATATCAGATTGGAGGGAGAGAGTATGGAGGAGGTGAACGTATTCAGATATTTGGGAGTGGACGTGTCAGCAGATGGGTCTATGAAAGATGAGGTGAATCATAGAATTGATGAGGGAAAAAGAGTGAGTGGTGCACTTAGGAGTCTGTGGAGACAAAGAACTTTGTCCTTGGAGGCAAAGAGGGGAATGTATGAGAGTATAGTTTTACCAACGCTCTTATATGGGTGTGAAGCGTGGGTGATGAATGTTGCAGCGAGGAGAAGGCTGGAGGCAGTGGAGATGTCATGTCTGAGGGCAATGTGTGGTGTGAATATAATGCAGAGAATTCGTAGTTTGGAAGTTAGGAGGAGGTGCGGGATTACCAAAACTGTTGTCCAGAGGGCTGAGGAAGGGTTGTTGAGGTGGTTCGGACATGTAGAGAGAATGGAGCGAAACAGAATGACTTCAAGAGTGTATCAGTCTGTAGTGGAAGGAAGGCGGGGTAGGGGTCGGCCTAGGAAGGGTTGGAGGGAGGGGGTAAAGGAGGTTTTGTGTGCGAGGGGCTTGGACTTCCAGCAGGCATGCGTGAGCGTGTTTGATAGGAGTGAATGGAGACAAATGGTTTTTAATACTTGACGTGCTGTTGGAGTGTGAGCAAAGTAACATTTATGAAGGGATTCAGGGAAACCGGCAGGCCGGACTTGAGTCCTGGAGATGGGAAGTACAGTGCCTGCACTCTGAAGGAGGGGTGTTAATGTTGCAGTTTAAAAACTGTAGTGTAAAGCACCCTTCTGGCAAGACAGTGATGGAGTGAATGATGGTGAAAGTTTTTCTTTTTCGGGCCACCCTGCCTTGGTGGGAATCGGCCGGTGTGATAATAAAAAAAAAATAATAAATAAATTGACAGACTTGCCTAGCTGCTAGTTGAGCACGGTGCACTCTCTCTGGTCTCTGCTTTGCCATCTTTCACTGTGGTGTACACTTACTGTTCCATCTGTACATATTGTACATAGTGTACAAACTTGTATACTATATCATCTGGTGAAGGCAAATATACCTTATAGTCAGTGGCAACTCATCCATAGGAGCTGCAAAGCTGCAGTCCCCCCCGATGCTCACTGCCAGATGTATAACTTCAACTTTACGCTGTAATAATTTGCAACAGACAAATATATTACAGGAAAAATATGTTGTATGTTGTTTTCAACGTATTATAAGTGAATTTTTATTTTTTTTGTTGAGACGAGATTAAAAAAATGATTAAAAATAGAAGTTTGATGCAGTACAATAATAAAATGGTACCTTGACTTACGAGTGCCCCAACTTAAGAGTTTTCTGAGTTACGAGCCGTCACTCAATCTATTTTTTTTGCTTTGAGTAGCGAACCAAAATCCGAGTTACAAGTGAGCTCCAGATACACCGCCACTAGTTGGCACAGCGAATGCCACAACATCCACCCAGGATCCTGCGTCTCACTTGTTCAGTGCACGTGGTTACCTCGCTGTGAGAGCATCTTTCTTGTGTTGTGTTTGTGTTTGTGCTCTTTGTGCAGTTATTTTGCCAAATTTTTTTTTTCTAACCATTGGTCCTAAGAAAGTAAGTGCAAAGGACAGTGCTGAGAAGAGGAGGATGATGATGTCCATTGAATTAAAGCATGAAATCACAGAAAAACACAAACGAGGTGTGCGTATATTCGACTTGACAAGGCAGTACGAGCGTAGTACTTCTACGATATGTACCATACTAAAGCAGGAGGAGTCGATAAAGGCTATAACACCAGCCAAGGGCATTAAAATAATTTCTAAGCTGCGGACCTCTGCCCACGAAAAGATGGAGAAGCTGCTGTTGATGTGGCTGACGGAGAAGGAGCTTGCAGGAGAAACCGTGACAGAGGGTATCCTCTTCAAGAAGGTACGAGGCATTTACGCTGATTTGCTGCAGCAGACCCTAGGCACTTCAACGGACAAGGCACTGGAAGTCATTTAAAGCCAGTCGGGGCTGGTTCGACAATTTTAAAAGGAGGGCTGGCATTTGCTTTGTCATCAGGTATGGTGAGGCAGCGAGCTCGGATGAGAAGGCAGCTGAGGATTACCTCAAAATTTTTGCAGAAGTGATAGCAGCCTAAGGATACATCCCTCAACAAGTCTTCAACTATGACAAGAAGAAGATGCCAAGGAGGACTTACATAAATGCAGAGGAGAAAAGATGCTAGGCCACAAACCCATGAAGGACAGGTTAATTCTCACACTGTGCACCAATGCGAGTGGCGACTGCAAAATCAAGCTGCTGCTCATATATCATTCAGAAAACCCCAGAGCCTTTAAGTTGCATAAGATTCTAAAAGAAAAACTGCAGGTTATGTGGAGGGCAAACCTGAAGGTGTGGGTCACCAGGCAGTTTTTTGTGGAGTGGGTAAACCTGGTCTTTGGTCCTGCCGTTAAGAAGTATCTCCAGGAAAATAATCTACCCCTGCAAGCCCTTCTTGTCGTGGACAATGCACCTGCTCACCCACCAAACCTCAAAGACAACATCCTCAAAGGGTTCAAGTTTATAAAGGTTCTCTGCCTTCCACCCAACACTACCCCTATCCTGCAGCCCATCACCTGCAGCAGGTGATTTCTAATTTCAAGAAGCTCTTCACCAAGCACCTGTTTTGCCACTGCTTTGAGGTGATGGAAACCATAAACTTCACCCTTCAAGAGTTCTGGAAGGACCACTATAACATCATGATATGCCTCAGAATTATAGATATGGCCTGGCAGAGGGTTACAAGGAGGACCTTGATCTCTGCGTGGAAGAAGCTGTGGCCTGAGGTTGTGTCTGAAAGGGACTTCAAAGGATTCGAACCCGAAGCAGCAGTGGTAGAGGAGACTGTGTCCTTTGAAAAGTCCATGGGCATGGAGGTGGATGAAGGAGATGTGAACGAGCTCATCAGGGATCATTCCAAGGAACTGATGACAGAAGGGTTAAAAGAACTACAGACGCAGCAGCATATGGAGGCTTTGCAGGAAATTGGCACAGCAGAGGAGCCAGATGTGGAGGAGGTTATCTCTACAAGTGAGATAAAGGAAACGTTGGGAATCTGGGAGAGGCTTTCAGAATTTATTGAAAAGAAACACCCAAAAAAAGTTGCAACTGGTCATATGTTGGCGCTATTTAATGACACTTGCCTAACTCGTTTCCAAAACATTCTGAAAGGGAGGATGAAACAAACCTCCTTAGACAGATTTTTATTGTAATGTCCTGCATATGAAGGTGACGAAAGCGTGGCAAAAAAAGGCAGAAATCAGTTAAAGTGAAAAAAAAATTGTAGCAATTAAGTGCAGCAATAAAGTGTAGCATTAACCCTTTGACTGTTTACGTCGTATATATACGTCTTGCACGCCACTGTTTCTGACGTATTTATACGCGTAAATTCTAGCGGCTTCAAATCAAGTAGGAGAAAGCTGGTAGGCCCACATGTGAGAGAATGGGTCTGTGTGGTCAGTGTGCACCACATAAAAAAAATCCTGTAGTACGCAGTGCGTAATGAGAAAAAAAAAAACTGACCGTTTTTTTGGATTAAAATGCCGACTTTGAGGTGTATTATCGTATAGTATTTATTGTTGTATTCTCGTTTTCATGGTCTCAGGTGATAAAATGGAAAACATGTTATAGAAATAGAGATGATTTTCATTACTTTCACTATGAAAACGACCTTGAAATTGAGCTCAAAGTAGCAGAAATGTTCGATTTTTACCAATGTTCAGGAGTAAGCAAATTACACTACACGTCCAATACACGTCAACTGGGGAGTCTAACATTCTTTTACTAGTGCACTGATATTATTTATACCATTTTTACAATAATGCAGTAGTCTGCATAACAGTAAATTTTGTATTTTTTTGTATGAATAAAAAATCAAAATAGAAAGCAATAGTAATATAAGAGGGGCCTAGAGACGTGACTAATGAACAGAGGATATGTTGTTTTAGTGCCAAGAATGTCTACATTGTTTATTCTGGACCCTATTTTGAAATTGGCATCTTTTTTAATTTGCATGAAATTGGCCAAATTGCCAAATTCTGACCACTTTATTGGGTAGATCAAATCAGTAAATGGGCAGTTTCTTGTACTCAACTGATAGAAAAAATGGAGTTCTAAAGAAATAGCTATGAGTTTGGTCAACTGGAACAATGGAATTGGCCAAAAACAGGGCTCGAAGTTGGCGAAATTGCTGATGCGTATATGTCGCTGAGACCTCTAACTTCGCGGGAGCGTAATTCCGTGAGTTTTCTACCAAATTTCGTACTTTTGGTGTCATTACCATCGGGAAAAGATTCTCTATCATTTCATAAGAAAAAATAATTTTTTTTTCCAAAACTTTTGCGACATAGAATGACAGTTTCAGAAAGGGGCCTGCGACAGCCAAAGGGGTTAAGAGCATAGCTATTAAGTTAAGCGATTAAGCAATGGCATTTATGATGAACAAAAGTGACCGAAAAAGCACGAAACGAAATGAACTCCTCCAATCTCCTCTGCCTATCTTTTCCACCCTCCACCTCCGCCAGCATCTTCTGTTAGCCCAAGTCGTCTGATCTCCAAGGTAAATACACTTTATAAAACCAGTTTATTTCTTTATGTTCTCTTTTATTACATTTTTATACAATATTTCTTATTTATAAATACATTTTTCTTTAGAAATCCGTAACAAAAAAAATGGGGTGGTTTTTTTGGGGGGCTGAAACAGATTAATGGCATTTCAATTAATTTCAATGAGGAAAATTTATTTGATATACAAACAAATTGAGTTAGGAGCTCGGTCACGGAACGAATTAGACTTGTAAGTCAAGGTGCCACTGTATAGGTATTACTGGTGTTACATCTGGCAGCGAGGAGCTGCATCTGATGCAGCACACACCCAGTTCCAATCGGTCTGTTTAATTTTAAAAATTATTACTTTAATAATGTTTATTATGCTGTTCTACGAGGCTTGCAGTCACACAGTCCTCCCATTCTATTTTTTGATGAGCCGCCACTGCTTATAATCTACTGTTGAGCTCTGTTTGCTCCACAATCCCATTACAACCAGGTCTCACAGGCCATTCATTACCCGTGTTCATAATAGGTGTTCCTTTGCTTACATTCCAACAGCATGTCAAATCAAAAAAGAAATGTTATCATCACTTATTTCAATCAAATAAACTTTCACATGCCTCCTGGATGCTCAAAACCACCTTTACACCTTCCTTCCAACCATTTCTGGGATGCTTCCTACACCTCCTTTCACCCCTTTTGGGAAACCTGTCTTGTTCCATCCTTCTCTGAGTAATAAAACCATCTCAATTCCTCTTCCATTCTTTGAATTATTCTTTTCATACCACCACACTATCTACTAATTTCTTCACTTATTCTCTGTATAATATTTACACATTTTAAACACAGCATATCCACTGCCTCCAGCTTCCTCCTCACATCAAGATTCAAAGTATTGGCACTGCTATACTCTAAATATATTTTTCCCTTCCACAGCCATTGATAAAGTTCCTTCTTTCCTCTCTAAGGATACTATCAACATTCCACCTACCTTTTTTTCCCTCACCTATTTTACAATTCATCTCGTTTTTCATGCACTCATCTGTCAACACATCCACCTGCAAATACCTAAATGCTTTTGCTATTATATATGGTAAATCATCCTGATTTACCAAACAAAACCCTAACTCACACACTAGTGGTAGTGTATTATCATACATGAACATCAAGCAAATGGGTCTGAATTTTGGTTTCCTTGAGGGAACACAGTATTAGTGTTAATTTGGTTTAGAAGCTTTCATAACATTGTATAAATATATAATAACGAGCACCTTAACAAATATCTTACTAAATGAGAAATATATCTTTCTGCCTCACTGAGTCTGTAGTAAAGATTTCAAGACTGGGTTTGTACAATAAATGCGACACTGCTGTTTCCCTGCCTTTTTTTCTGTATTTGTTTGCTTCTACATTTTCCCTTATGCATATATGCTTCCTGAAAGGAATTCTGAACAAAATTCATAACTGTTCCATTTTTTTGGGGATAGTCATACCTAGAATGCAAAACTTTAAGAAATGTTTCAGGAGAAATCAGTTTAACCTTTAAATAAAACAAATCTGAACAACGTATTTGACCAATAAAATTATTGCAGGTGCAGTACTTCAACCATAGGTTCTAACACCCTAAGATACAAGATGTATAAATGAAGTTCCATTTTATGAACATACTGCTGGTATTTCTCTAATTTTAGAAAGAACTGCTCAAAACTGCATTTTTTTTTTTAACACACCAGTCATATCCCACCAAGGCGGGGTGACCTAAAAAAGAAAAACTAAAGTCTTTCTTTTTAAATTTAGTAATTTATACTGGAGATGGGGTTACCAGCCCCTTGCTCCCAGCATTTTAGTTGCCTCTCATGACACACATGGCTTACGGAGAAAGAATTCTTTTCCACTTTCCCCATGGAGAAAACTGCAATTTTCAATATTAATTTTTACCAATTCTTTTATTGTAAAGCAAATAATTTAAAATACAAGACAGCTTTAACTTCATTGTATTACAATACAGCATACCTACCTGACCTGGTACGTGAATTAAATATACATATTTTAAATTCTATTTGAAATAGTAACAAAAGAGCATTGGAAAGCAAGTTCTTGCCTTTGGGAGGTAGTTTAGAAGCCAATGGAAGGGCAAAAGGAAGTGTACTGGTTGTGGTGATGACAGCCAGATCCCAGACACTTGGCTCCTGGATGCCTGATTCAGTCTGGTGGTTCAATGTACTTGGTTGAGTTTGGTGAATCACTTGTCCTTGTAAGCTTCTACCATCTGATAAAATTATTCTGACATCCTGAAAAAATGGCATACCAACTATAATACTCCAGTTACAGTATATTATTTTGAATTTTAAGGTGAATGTGACATTCTAACATCATACCTGTTGATCACCATGAGGTACAGAAGATGTACTCCCAACTCACTACCATGGTTAAATTTTCATCTTGAGACAAAAGCATTTCCATGCAAAGCCATCAAATACAACCAAAGGATGACACAATTATGAAAAAGCTTCACAACTTAACATCTACACTGACCTTTAAGTATTATATTAACTGAAGAACTACTGTATCTACAGACTTATAAGCAGTAGTATTTCCAACACATATACATAATCTACACTGCATGAGCACTATCTCTATATTAACCCTTTCAGGGTCCAGAGGTCAAATTTCAAAGTGTGCAACCAGTGTCCAAGAATTTTCAAAAAATAATTTTGTTATTTTTTCTTATGAAATGGTAGAGAATCTTTTTCTGAAGGTAATAAAACAAAAAGTACGAAATTTAATGGAAAATTGACGAAATTATGCTCTCGCAATTTTGATGCATCAGCGATATTTACTTATCGGCGATTTTGCGGAATTTGACTCCCATTTTAGGCCAATTACATTATTCCAGTCGACCAAATTCTTAGCTATTTCACTAGTATTACTTCTATTCTATCGACTGAGCACAAGAATTCACCAAATCAACTGTTTCAACTACAAAATAAAGTGATCGGAAATTGGTAATTTGGCCAATTTAATGCAAAGTTCAAAATACTCCAATTTCAAAATAGGGTCCAGAATAAACAATGCAGGCATTCCTGGAACTAAACTAACATTTCCTATGTACATTAGTTATGTTTTCAGGCTTCACTAATGAATTCCATTTTGGATTTTTATTCACATAATGAATTTTTATTCAAACCAAAAAAATGAAGATTTACTGTTATGCAATATTGTAATAATTGTATAAATAATATCAGCACATTTGTGAATGTATATTAGACCCACCAGCAGGCGTGTATTAGACATGCGAGGTCATTTGTTTACTCTTGAATATTGGCAAAAATTTAACATTTCCACTACTTTGAGCTCAGTTTCAAGCCATTTCCAATACTAAAACCAATCAAAATCATCTTTATTTTTGTAATATGTCTTCCATTCTATCAAATGAGACCAAGAAATCGCAAATACAACTATAAAAAACATACAAAAAACACTGCAAAGTTGCTGTTTTAATCGAAAATTACAGTCTCAGTTTTTTCTCTCATTATGCACTGTGTGCTGCAGGATTTGTTTTATGTGGTGCACACATACCACAAAGAAATATTCTCTCATATCTAGGCCAAAATTTACCGCTCACAGCTTATCAGAGTGAGCTGAGCTCATGACGTAGATCTACGGTTTGGACCCTCAACATAAAGCCGTAGATCTACGGCACGGACCCTCAAGGGGTTAAACCAGTGTTCTTTAGTTCGCCAGATAATCCACCAACCATATAATAATAATAATAACTGACTTTATTTACTGGTTGCCTTATAAGTTAAAATGTTAGATAATCAAAATTTGTGAATATGGAACCCCTCAAAATTCATAGGGATGACTGTACTAACACAGCTAAAGTAAAAGAATTCAACAAAAAATATTTAGTAATTGCAATGTTTTCACAAAAAAAGTTAATTTTAGTAACTCACTCCACTAGTGGCCGGATGAGTAACATGAGCACATGTTAGGATGACTCCTGGCGAGGTATTTATTATGATGCCACTTCCGTAGCCTTTGCCACAGCAAACAGCCACAATGCCCCTATTTAAATGGTGAGCATATTCTGTGAAAATAGTAATAAGAGAACCCATTACAATGAGGTCCTCAAAGTAGCTATGCATGCATGCATATTGGGGGTTCCATTGCTAAGAGTTAGGGTATTAGACAACTTGCATGTGGTCACCCATCCAGTTACCAATTTATGTGTGTGTGTCTTTGCTCCAACCCTACACCTGACCCTAGGACCTCAGTACACTGCACCAATTTTCACACCAATGTACCTAACCAGTATAAAAGGGAGCTGTTTGTTTCTCTGCATGGCTCAAAAATAATATACTCAAATTAAGTGCTAAACCCGTAAGTCATACAGCACAAACTCTCCAAACCTTCAAAGGTAAGGGTGACCCCTTACCCAGCCAGACAGGTCCATTCTCCCAGCTAACTCCTTTCCTCCCAGGGTAGACTGGTCTGCTCTCCCTGCTAATTCTTCTACCACCTCTCCTAGGTGAGACTGGTCTACTTTCCCTGCTAATTCTTCTACCTCTCCCAGGCTGGATTGGTCCACTCTCCCTGCTAACTCTCGTGGCTCAATAACAGTCCTGGACAAAACATTTTAATAAAAGCTTTCTCTAAGTGTCTATGTATATTACCCTACATTATGTTATACCTAACATGTACTATGAGATAAAAAAAATTAGGAAAACTGAAGGAAAAATATTGTCTTCTTCTTTCAACAAACCAGCCATATCGCACCAAAGCAGGGTGGCCCAAAAAGAAAAAAACAAAAGTTTCTCTTCTTGACTTCATATATACAGAAGGGGTTACTAGCCCCTTGCTCCCAGCATTTTAGTCGCCTGTTATGACATGCATTGCTTACAGAGGAAGAATTCTGCTCCACTTCCCCACAGAGATAAGAAATAAACAAGAACAAGAACTAATAAGAAAACCCAGAGGGGTGTGTGCATATATGATTGTATATGCATGTGTAGTGTGACCTAAGTGTAAGTAGAAGTAGCAAGATGTACCTGAAATCTTGCATGTTTATGAGACAGAAAAAATACACCAGCAATCCTACCATCATGTAAAACAATTACAGTTTTACACTCACTTGGCAGGATGGTAGTACCTGCCTGGATAGTTGCTATCTACCAACCTACTACCTAGGAAGGCAAAATATATCTTCATCTTTTTTTGCACATTAATCACACACAAATAATACATTTGCCTACATTAAAGCCTATGTGACAAAAGTGATCAAATATAGAAAATATCAGTACTGATGTTAACATTAGTCTGAAACATGTGGACTAGTGACAATAACCATCCACCTGTCCAGCAAGATAGCACTAGAAATCTTCTGTAGGATACCTCAAAGACACACACAGGCAGCTCAAATAGTCATTCTTCCTTTATCAATCATATCTACCTTTAAGAAAATTAATCATGCTTAATAATGGCCTATATTTTCTTGAACAAACAGGTTGTTAAGATCATTTCTAATTTGGCAGTACAATAACAATAATACATCATAGCTCACTCCTCTATATTTATCTTTAACCTTTAGTCGTTTTTCACATAACTCTCACCTGACTTAAGATATTCCTTCCTGGGAATGTGGTCAAGTGATTGCCCCAAATGCTTAATTTCTATTGACTTGTCATGCCTGAGAGACTGTCCAGTCTTTCTGTCTTCCTTATCAACCTCAGACTTTAAGGAGCAGAGTAGAGTTTGCAGAACTTGATTTGCCGACGCAAGAAGAGTGAGTCCAAGCCACTCGCCATCTCTCCAGCAGAAAGGTGAGATAACAAGTCCACATAGATGTTTCCTTGTAAGGCAAAAAAAATAATAATTGTGCTAATACAAAATAGTGGCAAATTTTTAAATGTGCTGGGAACTTTTCCATTAAACAAATCTTTCAATGCAGCAATAATGAAAAGATGAATTTCAATATTATACAAGTCATCTAACAAATGTTAAATGTAACAGGGGTCTTTCCTGAGGACTTTGCCAAAAATCTGGATTCTAATTCAAATTACTGTACTAGAATTATACACATGCATGGGGAAGTACTAAATCCATAGAGGTTATACAGCAACAATAATTTTGAGGTGAAAGACAGTAAACAGTTGTGTATACACTAGACTTACATTCCTTCTATTACTGTAAAAACTGGAGCACCCTCAGACCCCATGATGCACCTGGCATCTGTAAACATGATATTCGCAGCAATGTGGTCAACATTGCTAATGATACCACTACTGAGAGAGTTAAGGAACACACCAGGAGCCAAGGAACCAAAAGGAGAACTCTCTACATAAACAGTCATTCCTGGAAGTATAAATCTATTTTAAACTCAAGAATATATTTGATATAGATTTAAAAAAATTGGCACAGAAACAGTGATTACGTGTGAGTGAGGTGAAAGTGCTGAATGATGATGAAAGTATTTTTCTTTTTGGGGATTTTCTTTCTTTTTTAGGTCACCCTGCCTCGGTGGGAGACGGCCGACTTGTTGAAAAAAAAAAATCTATTTTAAAGTATAGATCTATTTTAAAGTCAAGAGTAAATTTAATATAAAGATTTTTAAAAAAAATCGGCAAGTAAATTATGATGTGCCAAATTTCACTCCCAATCTTTTAAATGCTTTTAAATACAATTCATCTAAGAGGACGTCTCCAACTGTCAATATATGACCTTTATCAGTGAATTTGAACTTGACTTACAAAACTATAGTTCTTGATCAAGAGATAATACACAAGAGTGAAATGTAATAAAAATTATTTTTAATTCCATTTATGAGTTTAAAAACTTACTCGCAGAATACTATTTTTTTTAATATGTGGATTTTAACCATGCTAGTGAAAAGTTCAGATGTTGTACTCAGTATCAACTTGATAACTGTAAGCTCGGTAAAATTCTTCTTCAAATGCTCTTAAGAGCTTTGTTAACATGATAAACTGATTACCAGTAAATCTGCCTATAACTAAGTAAAAAATCTACCACCTTATTCTGATTTTGTTGGATTAAATAACACAGGTTTGTGTAAACATAATCTTGAAGTATTGCATTTCACTGAATTATATAAAACAAATATAATTTCTATACATTAGTAGCTCTTGTATTTAACATTTTCAATTTTTAAAACTATTAAATAATACTCTTTTAAAGTTTGTTTACTCTAGCAGCACTTTTAGCTTTGGCTTGTCTTATATATACCCCTCAAGGAAGGCTCCTTGACGCTGGTGAGGGGCTCTTGATCTAGGGAATTGGATCTGTGCTCCAGTTCCCTGAATTAAGCCTGAATGCCTTCCATCCCCCCATAGGCACTGTATAATCCTACGGGTTTAGTGCTTCCCCCTTGATTATAATAATAATTGTCTTATATACCAGAGTGTTATGGAATTCCTCACGTTCACAATGCTTACAGAAGCTTTAATAATATATACTATCCTGGATAACTGTACAAATTCTTTCATTCTTCTTCTGCTGTAACCTACTTTATCACATAAACAATGGAGTTTATTCATGCTTTTGTGTAACACTCATCATGAATGCCATAATTCTGAATGAATTTGCCATTTAACAAATTATATTTCAAATTTAAACATCTTTGGTGAGACGTCATTTAGATTATGTTTAGTTCTAGCTGCCATATTAAAGAATGGTCATAAATGCACTTAAAAATATACAGAGAAGAATAATGATTTTTTTTTTCAACGAACTGGCCGTATCCCACCAAGGCAAGGTGACTCAAAAATAAAAATAAAAATTTTTCTTTTTAAATTTAGTAATTTATGCACGAGAAGGAGTTACTAGGCCTTTCCTCCCAAAATGAAATTAACTGCATATATTAAAAATCTGTTCTATGAAGATAAGCTGAATTTGGAGAAGCTGAAAGTGGAGAAGAATCCTTTTTCTGTCAGCCATGTGTGTCATAAGAGGTGACTAAAATGATAGGAGCAAGGAGCTAGTAACCCTTTCTCCTGTATAAATTACTAAATGTAAAAAGAAGTGCTTCTTCTTTTTCAGGTCATCCTACCTTGGCTGGAGATGGCTGGTGTGTTAAAAAAAAATGAACAAATACCTACCAAGGCAGGATTCACAGCTATGTATTTAAGTTTGACAAATTTAGATTTAGCAGATATATGGAAGTACTAGTCTGGAAATAAAACTGTACATAACTGGAACACATTCCCAAAAGTCAATGAGGTTGGATGGGTACACGAGTCGTTATGGTTAGGTGTGAATTGAACCTGCCTAGCATGGACCAATAGATCCACTGCAGTGTTCCACTGCTCTTCTGTTTTTAAATTGAGAAATACACACTTAAATGATTCTCTCAGAAAGCAAAAACAATCTGTATATTAATAACCATAAAATCTTGCTACATGAGAAAGACTGCAATAATGTACAATGAAGACAGTGAAAGGAGATTAAAATATTTGTACAGGATGGTACTTTAAATGTATATAGTGATGTTATATTTTAAAATGTCCAATTTCCTACTCAAAAGATAACCTTTGCAACTTCTCTTAATTTTTTTAACACACTAGCCATCTCCCACTGAGGCAGGATGACCAGAAAAATAAACACTTTCACCATTTTTTACACTATTACTGTCTTGCCAGAGGCACACAGATATGACAGCTTTGATGTCCCTTTATTTCCTGTTCATGTAATTTAGTCCTTCCCTTAAAATCAATAGCCATATATGCCACACAATATTTTTAAGTCCAACATTTGTCAAAATATTTTCATTGTAAACATACCTTTACTACTTATGCCTGTGAAAGATAGCATTTTTTGAGTAAGATAAATAACATCTTGACTAGAAGCTTCCATGATGTAGTCATGACTCTTTTCTGGTATAATCTTGAGTAGCACAAAAGTGGAGATGATGAGAGTTTCAAGAGCAGCAGCATATTTATATTTTGCAGTCTCTCTAAACTTCCATCCATCAGAAGCTGGCATAATGCTTGCAATACTTTTCTTGATCCCAGGATGAAAAAACATCAAATCAACACTGGCTGGGAAAGACAAATAGTTGGATGTTGCTTTTTGTAATGATCTGGATGGCCAAGAGATTTGACTACCATTAAGGAATATATTATTCTGCTCTCTAATGGGAAATAAGGAACCTGCATTTTCTTTTTGCATTTGGTTATTATAGTCTTTAGAATTCATTGGTTTATTAAGACACTGTTTGTTGGCTTGAGCAGACTCTAATGAAGAAGCAAATTGCTCTGCTGGTAACAGTACTTGGAAACTTGACTGAGTCGACTGAAGGACCGAGTTCAACACGTTTGCTTTGTTTCCATTGCGTGTGTAACCCTTTGATACAAGTTCTTGAACAAGTGGTTGGGCTCTTCTATCTTTCAAAATATCAATTACAATTGTGCCATGAGTAAGGACTACTCCTTTACCCATGTAAATCCCAGAACAACTGAGACTTTCTGCAGTATTTTTCTCTTGGCAGTATTCCACTATCGTTCCAAATGCTTCCATCATGCAGTATAATAATTTTTTTTTTTAAATAAAAGTTAAACTATTTGCCTTGAAATTTCCTCACAAAAATAATTTGTTAATTTCTCTCACTCACACTCAGAAAAAATATAACTAAAATACCATTGTTCATATTGTAATATCACATTAAATGGCTACATAAAACTGATAGTTCTGAAAAGATTCACTACAGTGCTAGGAAATCATATACATTAAGTCATATACAGCACTTTACTATTAAACTTTCACAATATATCTTTTATACAGTACAGTATATGTACATTGCAATAATTATTTTTGCACTTCCTCATCTAGAGTTTTCAGCAGCTCCCTCTCTCTCCTCTCATGAATTTTCCTTATGCAGTCCTCAATTTCCTGAAAGAAAAGTAAATTATTAATATGTATCCTAAGAATTACCACAAATTAAAAAAAACAGACAATTCTGACTTAATGAACTTTGTCAATGAAATTAATTAAAAATTAATTTAACCAATGCACCTTAAGGATATTAGACAATTCTGAATTTAAAGGATTTTATCCTTTACTTTCAAATGTTGTCCAGCCACACATTTTCTCTGTTAAATCCAAAATCTGTTAAATCAAGGTTTTACTGTACAGAATGTCCTTGAAATTTCAAACAATTTTTCTCAGTGTTGAAATTTTAATCCCTCAGGCATGTAGGCTGTGAATCGGCAATTTATAGTCCAGCTTCTAAAACATGCAGGTCATACTTGCACTCTGACCATCAGAAATGGAAATTAGTCACTCTGTCTGACTTTTTGGGTTATCCTAGGTACTTTACACATATGCTGCTATGTATGATAATTCTTTGTAACTGTATCTGTGTATACCTAAATAAACTTACTTATGGGAAGTACAGTGCCTGCACTCTGAAGGAGGGGTGTTAATGTTGCAGTTTAAAAACTGTAGTGTAAAGCACCCTTCTGGCAAGACAGTGATGGAGTGAATGATGGTGAAAGTTTTTCTTTTTCGGGCCACCCTGCCTTGGTGGGAATCGGCCGGTGTGATAATAAATGTGTGATAATTATTGAATATTCTGTGGTGTGCAGCAAGTTTTCATTGATAGGGTTAAATTTCAATCCAGTAGGGGCAGATAGGGTGAAATTTCAACCCAGAAGGGGCAGATAGGGTGAAATTTCAACCCAGAAGGGGCAGACAGGGTGAAATTTCAACCCAGAAGGGGCAGATAGGGTGAAATTTCAATCCAGTAGGGCAGACAGGGTGAAATTTCAACCCAGAAGGGGCAGATAGGGTGAAATTTCAACCCAGAAGGGGCAGACAGGGTGAAATTTCAACCCAGAAGGGGCAGATAGGGTGAAATTTCAATCCAGTAGGGGCAGACAGGGTGAAATTTCAACCCAGAAGGGGCAGATAGGGTGAAATTTCAACCCAGAAGGGGGAGACAGGGTGAAATTTCAACCCAGAAGGGGCAGATAGGGTGAAATTTCAATCCAGTAGGGGCTACTGTGTGACAGCCAAATTATAAAGTACTCTGTATTCCATGCTTAAGGAGATGCAGGTTTTGTATATTTTCACGAGTGTTTCTATAAATTACATAAATAATTACTACCATAATTCACAGAAAGATAATATAATAGCATTTACATATAAAATACATATAGAGTAATGAAAAAAAACACTAATTTATTCACTCTAGCAGGAAAGTAATTGCTTATTACTAGATTAACTTGTATTTTTGTTACTGTCATGTCCTTGCTCTTTGTAGGTTACAAAACAGAGAGAAACCTAATGTCTTATATACAATATTGTATATGAATGAGTTTCATGTTTTTTACCCAAAATGTATACTTGGTCCCAATATGAAAAAGAAATTAATGAAATATTTTCTTAAAATACTGTATATACTTTTAAGAGATTATGATTATAAAATGATACATATATATTACACTGTCACTCACTCACTGTCTTGCCAGATGCACACTGACATTACAGTTCAGATGCCTCTCCAAACTGCAATATCCCCACCCCTCCTTTGGAGTGCAGGCACTGTATTTCCCACCTTCAGGACTCAAGTCCAGCTAGGTAGTTTTCCTGAATCCCTTCATACATGTTACTTTGCTTACACTCCAACAGCATGTTAAATCATAAAAACTATTTGCCTCCACTCACTGCTATTTAACCCTTTGACTGTTTTCGACGTATAAATACGTCTTACGAGCCAATGTTTCTGACGTATATATACTCAATAATTCTAGCGGCTTCAAATCAAGCAGGAGAAAGCTGGTAGGCCCACATGTGAGAGAATGGGTCTGTGTGGTCAGTGTGCACCACATAAAAAAAATCCTGCAGCACACATTGCGTAATGAGAAAAAAAACTGATCGTTTTTTTGGAATAAAACGCCGACTTTGAGGTGTATTTTCGTATAGTATTTAACATTGTATTCGCGTTTTCATGGTCTTAGGTGATAAAATGGAAAACATATTACAGAAATAGAGATGATTTTCATTAGTTTGATGATGAAAACGACCTTGAAACTGAGCTCAAAGTAGCGGAAATGTTCGATTTTTACCAATGTTCAGGAGTAAATAAATCACACCACACGTCCAATACACGTCAACTGGGGAGTCTAATATTCTTTCACTAGTGCACTGATATTATTTATACCATTTTTACAATAATGCAGTAGTCTGCATAACAGTAAATTTTGTATTTTTTTGTATGAATAAAAAATCAAAATAGAAAGCAATAATAATATAAGAGGGGCCTAGAGATGTGACTAATGAACAGAGCATATGTTATTTTAGTGCCACGAATGTCTACCTTGTTTATTCTGGACCCTATTTTGAAATTGGCATCTTTTTAGTTTGCGTGAAATTGGCCAAATTGCCAATTTCTGACCACCATATTGGGTAGTCCAAATTAGTAAATGGGAGGTTTCTTGTACTCAGCTGATAGATAAAATGGAGTTCTAAAGAAATAGCTATGAGTTTGGTCAACTGGAACAATGGAATTGGCTGAAAATAGGGCTCAAAGTCGGCGAAATCGCCGATACACATACCTCGCCGAGACCGCTAAATTCGCGGGAGCATAATTCCATGAGTTTTCGACCAAATTTCGAACTTTTGGTGTCATTACCATCGGGAAAAGATTCTCTATCATTTCACAAGAAAAAATAATTTTTTTTTTTCAAAAATTGAGCGACATAGAATGAGTTTCAGAGAGGGGCCTGAAACAGTCAAAGGGTTAATAGGCTCTTGCAAGCCCGAGCACTCAAAACCTTTATCTCCCTCTCTCCAACCTTACCTAGGACGATCCCTATCCCTCCTTCCCTCCACCTCAATAATCCCCCCCTCAACCCTCTGAATAATACTTTTGGTAATGACTATGGTATTAGGATATCTCTTAAACATATCTGAGATACTTTTTTTTTTTTTTTAACAAGTCGGCCATCTCCCACTGAGGCAGGGCGACCCAAAAAGAAAGAAAATCCCCAAAAAGAAAATACTTTCATCATTATTCAACACTTTCACCTCACTCACACACAATCACTGTTTTTGCAGAGGTGCTCAGAATACAACAGCTTAGAAGCATATACATATAAAGATAAACAACATATCCCTCCAAACTGTCAATATCCCAAACCCCTCCTTTAAAGTACAAGCATTGTACTTCCCATTTCCAGGACCCAAGTCCAGCTATATAAAAATAACCAGATTCCCTGAATCCCTTCACTAAATATTACCCTGCTCACACTCCAACAGCTCGTCAGATCCCAAATACCATTTGTCTCCATTCACTCCTATCTAACACGCTTGCTGGAGGTCCAAGCACCTCGCCCACAAAATCTCCTTTACCCCCTCCCTCCAACCTTTTTAAGGACGACCCCTACCACGCCTTCCTTCCCCTACAGATTTATAAGCTCTCCATGTCATTCTACTTTGATCCATTCTCTCTAAATGACCAAACCACCTCAACAACTCCTCTTCAGCCCTCTGACTAATACATTTATTAACTCCACACCTTCTCCTAATTTCCACACTCCGAATTTTCTGCATAATACTTACACCACACACTGCCGTTAGACAGGACATCTCCACTGCCTCCAACCGTCTCCTCGCTGCAGCATTTACAACCCAAGCTTCACACCCATATAAGAGTGTTGGTACCACTATACTTTCATAAATTCAGTTCCTTGCCTCCATAGATAACATTTTTTGTCTCCACATATACCTCAACGCACCACTCACCTTTTTTCCTTCATCAGTTCTATGATTAACCTCATACAGGGCTTAATACATAAAGATACTCTTAAACACTATTCATCAGTTCTCACCAAAGTAATAAAGAAAGCCAAACAGCTGTACTACTCCAGCAGATTCACTGACACAAGAGGAGACATAAAAAAGACCTGGAAAACACTATCTCAGATTCTGGGCACCCACAAACTGAAAAAAACCAAGAATATTGTCCTAACTAAACCTAATGAAACACCACTGCATCTCATTGAAACAGCTAACAAGATGAACGACTTCTTCTCAACCATAGGATCTAATCTTGCCAGTAAAATCCCACATACCAATGCCCATGCTGGGGACTATCTAGATGGAAATTTCCCAAATTCCTTCTATCTTGTTCCAACTGAACCCACCGAAGTCACTGAGATTATAAAGTCACTTAAAAATAACTCAGGGAACCTGTCTCATGTCCCACCATTATTGTACAAGCGAGTGACCCATGTCCTTTCGCATGCTATTTCATTACTTTTTAACAAGTCACTAGAAACTAGCACCTTCCCGAAACTACTCAAGACAGCAAGGGTTACACCAATACATAAAGGTGGTGACCCTACAGATGTAAACAACTATAGGCCAATATCAAACTTACCATTGCTATCCAAAATCTTCGAGAAACTCGTGCACAGGAGACTGTATTCATTTATAACGGCACAAAACATACTCAACCCCTGCCAATTTGAATTCAGCAATTGTAAAAATGCTAAATCTGGTTTACACAGCATTGGAAAATAAGGAATATCCACTAGGAATTTTTATTGACCTAAGAAAAGCTTTTGACACAGTAGACCACGGCATCCTGCTCCACAAACTTGACCATTACGGTATAAGAGGTCATGCAATTGCATATTTCAAATCCTACCTTACTAATAAGTATCAGTATGTCACCATTAAAGACACAGCATCATCAACACGGCCACTTGATACTGGAGTTCCACAGGGAAGTGTCCTTGGACCCCTGCACTTCCTCATTTACATCAATGATCTTCCAAATGTATCCCAACACCTGAAACCCATTCACTTTGCTGACGACACGACTTATGTCATCTCTCACCCTAATCTTGCCACCCTCAACACCATTGTTAATGGCGAGCTGCTCAAAATATCAACTTGGATGACAGCCAATAAACTTACACTTAACACTGACAAAACCTACTACAGTGGACCCCCGCATAACGATTACCTCCGAATGCGACCAATTATGTAAGTGTATTTATGTAAGTGCGTTTGTACGTGTATGTTTGGGGGTCTGAAATGGACTAATCTACTTCACAATATTCCTTATGGGAACAAATTCGGTCAGTACTGGCACCTGAACATACTTCTGGATTGAAAAAATATCGTTAACCGGGGGTCCACTGTATATTATGTTTGGTAGCAGAGCAGGTGTTGCGCAACTTAACATTAAGATCGACAGCACTCTAATTGCCAGACATAATGAGGGCCAATTCCTAGGCCTATACCTCAACAACAACCTGAATTTCAGCACCCATATCCAACACATATCAAAAAAAGTATCCAAAACAGTTGGGATCCTCTCCAAGATACGATACTACGTGCCGCAAAATGCCCTTCTTACACTATACCATTCACTCATTTATCCATACCTCACCTTTGCTATTTGTGCTTGGGGATCAACTGCAGCAATGGGTGGGTGAAGCTTATGGGAGGAGACATGGGTAGGTGATGCTTACAGGAGACATGGGTGGGTGAAGCTTATGGGAGGAGACATGGGTAGGTGATGCTTACAGGAGACATCTGGAGTTTATCTGGAGAGAGTTCCGGGGGTCAACGCCCCCGCGGCCCGGTCTGTGACCAGGCCTCCTTAGGTCAGTGTCCCAGGATGCGACCCACACCAGTCGACTAACACCCAGGTACCCATTTTACTGATGGGGAACATAGACAACAGGTGGAAAGAAACACGTCCAATGTTTCTACTCTGGCTGGGAATCGAACCCAGGCCCTCACCGTGTGAAGCGAGAGCGTTAACCACCAGGCCACCATGGGTGGGTGAAGCTTATGGGAGGAGACATGGGTAGGTGATGCTTACAGGAGACATGGGTGGGTGAAGCTTATGGGAGGAGACATGGGTTGGTGATGCTCACAGGAGGAGACATGGGTAGGTGATGTTTACAGACATGGGTTGGTGATGCTCACAGGAGGAGACATGGGTGGGTGATGCTTATAGAAAACGATAATTTAAAAGACATGAGATGGAGTACAGTTCCATGTACAAACATGCACACAAAAATTATTCAGAACAATTCAAAGGGTTTGTTGTTCAACTATGAAAATCATCCAGAAAACTACTGATCTTTCTTGATAGAGCTTAATCTTGCAATTAAAACTACAGAAAAATTTTTTTTTTGATTGAACACTGAACTGACTTAGACAGTACAAAGTAATACCTTATGGTGCATTTTATCTAGAGGAGGGTACAGCTCCTGTCTCATCTTAACAGTCCACTCCTCAAAGTACTTGGGTTGGTTGAATAAATAAAAGAGTGCCACAGGGAAGGCCATATACAAGGCCATCTTCCCAACTTCCAGCTTCCACCCACCCATCTTCACAACCTGAAATCATAAAAAAAAAATACTGCAGTTTAACCATCATATATACATCGGTGCTGTTTAAACCTTCACCTAACAAACTGCATCATTGCAGACACGCACTGGTTTGCTTTATTGGGTTGCAAGCATATTAACTACCCAAGGGTCATTAAGGCTGCAAGTAACCTGGTCACCACTAATCAAGGATACTTAATTATGTATATCGGCTTTAAAATATACTACTCATATGTTCCTCATCCTCATATCCGACATAGACAAGGATGTCAGCCACAGCACCGTGTCTTCCTTTGCAGATGACACCCGAATCTGCATGACAGTGTCTTCCATTGCAGACACTGCAAGGCTCCAGGTGGACATCAACCAAATCTTTCAGTGGGCTGCAGAAAACAATATGAAGTTCAACGATGAGAAATTTCAATTACTCAGATATGGTAAACATGAGGAAATTAAATCTTCATCAGAGTACAAAACAAATTCTGGCCACAAAATAGAGCGAAACACCAACGTCAAAGACCTGGGAGTGATCATGTCTGAGGATCTCACCTTCAAGGACCATAACATTGTATCAATTGCATCTGCTAGAAAAATGACAGGATGGATAATGAGAACCTTTAAAACTAGGGAGGCCAAGCCCATGATGACACTCTTCAGGTCACTTGTTCTATCTAGGCTGGAATATTGCTGCACACTAACAGCACCTTTCAAGGCAGGTGAAATTGCCGACCTAGAAAATGTACAGAGAACCTTCACGGCGCGCATAACGGAGATAAAACACCTCAATTACTGGGAGCGCTTGAAGTTCCTAAACCTGTATTCCCTGGAACGCAGGCGGGAGAGATACATGATTATATACACCTGGAAAATCCTAGAGGGACTAGTACCGAACTTGCACACGAAAATCACTCACTACGAAAGCAAAAGACTTGGCAGACGATGCACCATCCCCCCAATGAAAAGCAGGGGTGTCACTAGCACGTTAAGAGACCATACAATAAGTGTCAGGGGCCCGAGACTGTTCAACTGCCTCCCAGCACACATAAGGGGGATTACCAACAGACCCCTGGCAGTCTTCAAGCTGGCACTGGACAAGCACCTAAAGTCAGTTCCTGATCAGCCGGGCTGTGGCTCGTACGTTGGTTTGCGTGCAGCCAGCAGCAACAGCCTGGTTGATCAGGCTCTGATCCACCAGGAGGCCTGGTCACAGACCGGGCCGCGGGGGCGTTGACCCCCGGAACTCTCTCCAGGTAAACTCAGTATATATATATCCACTGAGAGATACACACTTCTCAGTGAAGCTGCACACACACAAAAACAAACAAAAACACACACACAAAAACAAACAAAAGCACACACACAATTACAGCAAGATGTTAATTATGAAACTAAAATTTTTAATAGGGTTTAATACACAAGTTTAGATATTTATAATTGTCTGTAATTGTGTAAAGTGACTCAGGGTAACCCAGTCATGTCATTGTTTCTGCTCTTATTGTTTTAATTCACAGTGAAGTATTAAACTTATGGTGGCCATACAGTGCCAAGGAAATGGGAGGTAATTATGTTTGATCCAAGGAAAGGGAACGTAACGCCATTCCACTGGATCAAGAGCCTTTCACCAACATCAAAGTACCTCCTGCAAGGTGATCATTATATTTAGAAGTGATAAACTCGTAGGGATGATACAGTACCTGGGCAAATTAGCTTCAATCCAAGTAAATGGAGGGCATACCCACTTCCTTGGATCAAGAGCCCTTCCGCTCCTAGGCACCTTCATTGAAGGTCAGTGCGGATAATTACACCAGGAAAAACAAGATCAAGAAATAATATTCCACATTATATAGCCTAATAACCAATAAAAACTTACCTTTAATAATAACCTCTAGAAAAGATGCTGCAATAAATTATCTAAAATATCTTAATAAAGAGTTGTTGTTGTTATAAGGGTGACCAACAAGTATGTCGTAGTTGATGTGTTGGTACATAAGGGCGCACCAGCCTGAGCCGCACTCGACCCTCCCTCCATCAACACTACATCTGATTTAGTATTATTATTATGTAAGAAGGGAGTCTATATGGAGAGAAAAAGAGAGGTTAAGAGAGTGGTGAAGTTAGTTTAATATGTTTATTATGCACCCCATACCCATCCTGTGGGCGGTAGTCAAAAGATTACAGAGGTACATAATTGGTCCAGGTGGCCCGGTGGCCTGGTGGCTAAAGCTCCCGCTTCACACACGGAGGGCCCGGGTTCGATTCCCGGCGGGTAGAAACATTTCGACACGTTTCCTTACACCTGTTGTCCTGTTCACCTAGCGGCAAATAGGTACCTGGGTGTTAGTCGACTGGTGTGGGTCGCATCCTGGGGGACAAGATTAAGGACCCCAATGGAAATAAGTTAGACAGTCCTCGATGACGCACTGACTTTCTTGGGTTATCCTGGGTGGCTAACCCCCCGGGGTTAAAAATCCGAACGAAATCTTATCTTATCTTATCAGGGACTGGACTCCAAAGTTTTGATAGCTGAGCAAGTTACAAAGGTAATGAACTAGATCTGGACATAATCATGACCAAGTTACAAAGGTAATGAGCTCCAGGTAGAGCTGGTCACACTCATGAATAATTGCAAAGGTAATGAATCATAAACACATTAATCATGAGAGTTTACGAAGGTAATGAGCTCCAGGTAGAGCTGGTCACAATCATGACAAGTTTCAAAGGTAATGAATGATAAACACGTTATGACATGATTACAATCATAGACAAATTACAGAGTAATGAGCAGTTAACAAACATAGTAGGGAATTCACCCATTGCCCCAACAGATGTTGCTAGGTGCCTGTCTCTCCTCGGTAGACAGCCATTGCAAACAGCAGCAAGTTGCCCTGGGATCTGCTGCTTGCACGAGCACCATCGACCCTCCCCAAGAGGTCCAAGAAGCCAGTGACTCCGTTAGCAGCCCGATGGAGAGCTGTCCTAGGGACATGTCAGCGTCCTGGTGGACGCCAAGTTGATTGAAGATCCCAGGCCCTCGTGTGCACGGATGTTGAAGCTCGAGGAACTGAGTACACACTGCCTGTGGCACACCTGGCAGCTGCCTCGCGGTCGAACTCCACGATGCTGTCCCTGTAGTGGAAGTTCCTGTGAGCCCGGCACTCCCTGCAGTGCCATCGCTGACATCGTGGGTTAGGGGAGAAGTACCCTCTACAGATGGGGTGGCGCTGGGAGTTGGGTGGGTGAGGCGAGGGAGACGGGCAGGGGTGAGGCGTTATGAGAGGGTCACTGTTTACTACACACGCCCTCCCCCTCCCCCCCAGCGGAGAGGGGGGGAGGCGCTGACTGGTCCTGACTCGACAACACCAAATCCTCTGAAACTGCACAACACTTCAACTATTTACACTGAAACGATGCACTGGGATGTCCGTTCGCTGCTCTGGTATCTTCTCAAAGCATTCACACTGAGTTCTGTTAAGTAGGGACCTGGTCAGCCTCTTTGACCAGGAGCTATCCTTGAAAATCCCGCAGCTAGCCCGCTACACTACCTGCCGTGTCAGCCAAGTTGAGCCCTGTGCTCAACAACACCAGACCCTCTAAAACTGCACAACACTTCAACTATTTACGCTGAAACGATGCACTGGGATAAAAAGAGAGCACATGAGAGAGTGGGTGAAATGTTATCAAAAAATTTTGTTGAAAATAAGAAAAAGTTTTGGAGTGAGATTAATAAGTTGAGGAAGCCTAGGGAACACGTGGATTTGACAGTTAAAAATAGGAAAGGAGAAAAAAAAATATATACCACTGGTGAGGTTTGAACCCGCGATCAGAAAGTTTCAAAACTCCAGACCGTCGCGACAGTCTGGAGTTTTGAGACTCTCTGATTGCAGGTTCAAACCCCACCCGTGGTATGGTTTGTTTGGAATCGTGTCATTACGATTTCGTGAGTCATAGGAGAGTTATTAAATGGAGAGTTAGAGGTATCGGGAAGATGGAGGGAATATTTTGAGAAATTGTTAAATGTTGATGAAGATAGGGAAACTGTGATTTCGTGTATAGGGCAAGGATGAATAACATCTTGTAGGAGTGAGGAAGAGCAAGTTGCGAGTGTGGGCGACATGCATAGGGCAGCGGTTAGAATGAAATGGGGTAAAGCAGCCGGGATTGATGGGATAAAGATAGAAATGTTAAAGGCAGGTGGGGATATAGTTTTGGAGTGGTTACTGTTTTTATTTAATAAATGTTTGGAAAAGGGTAAGGTACCAAGGGATTGGCAGATAGCATGCATAATGCCTTTGTATAAAGGCAAAGGGGACAAAAGAGAGTGCAAAAATTATAGGGGAATAAGTCTGTTGAGTATATCTGGTAAAGTATATGGCAGAGTTATTATTGAAAGAATTAAGAGTAAGACGGAGAATAGGATAGCAGATGAACAAGGAGGCTTTAGGAAAGGTAGGGGGTGTGTAGACCAGGTGTTTACAGTATTTAAATAAGTGTAAAGAGATTTTTATGACATTTATGAATTTAGAAAAGGCGTATGACAGGGTGGATAGGGGGGCAATACGGCAGATGTTGCAAATGTATGGCATAGGAGGTAGGTTACTGAAAGCAGTGAAGAGTTTTTACGAGGATAGTGAGGCTCAGGTTAGAGTATGTAGGAGAGTGGGAGATTATTTCCCAGTAAAAGTAGACCTTAGACAAGGATGTGTGATGTCACCATGGTTGTTCAATGTATTTATAAATGGGGTTGTAAGAGAAGTGAATGCTCGGGTGTTGGCAAGAGGTGTGTGGTTAAAAGATAAAGAATCTAACACAAAGATTGAGTTGCCACAGTTGCTCTTTGCTGATGACACTGTGTTTTTGTGAGATTCTGAATAGAAGTTGCAGAGGTTGGTAGATGAGTCTGGTAGGGTATGTAAAAGAAGAAAATTAAAAGTGAACATAGGAAAGAGTAAGGTGATGAGGATAACAAAAAGATTAGGTGACGAAAGATTGGATATCAGATTGAAGGGAGA